CCCCTGCCGCCCCCGGGGTGATCAGAGTGACCCAAGGAGGTTTCCTGAGATTGCACCCAAAGGCTGCAACGCCGGCCCCGCGTTGTGAAACGTCCCCCGACTGTCCCCAGATGTTGTGAGCGGCAGAACCCCCCCGTTGTGAAAGCAGAGCGCCCCACCGGCCAGCGCTGGGGGGCTGGGGGGGCCGGGGGGGCGGAATCACGGCTCCCCGGGCTGATTTCACTGGGAAAGACCCCCAGGATGGAGCCCGGCCTGCCCCTGGTCACTCAGAGCGACGTCCAGCCCTTCCCTGGACACCTCCAGGGACGGGGAGTCCAAACCTCCCTGCCCTGAGCGCCTTTTCCAGGAGGAAATTCCCGCTGGAAGCCCAGGGCTGCGGCTCCTTCCATGCTCTGGAGCTCCTGGACTCGCCCCAGGCCTGTCTGGAGCTTTGTTTCGGTCCCCACTGGGTGTCAACAAACCCCAGAGGAGCGAGCTGAGCCAGCAGGCAGCTCATTTTAATGAGGAAAATCTCGTTTTGCCCCCAAACTCGGCAGCTCTGAGCTGCCAGGCCAACAACAACGCGAAAAATCCACGAGGTGAGGACCGAGCCCTGGAAAAGCGGGGAAGGGGGGAAATAAATAAAAATAAAAATGGGATAAAATGCGCTTTGGAGGCAGACCTGGGCTCTGCCGCTCAGGGCACGCCTGGGCTGGGGAGGAGCCGGGGGAATGGAGCTCCTGGAGCTCTGCCGGGCTGGGAACACGCCCGGGTCACCTTTCCCTGCAGGTGACACCGCTGTCACACAGCGCTCGGAGCTGGGCTCCGGGGAGCTTGGAGCCGCCGGGTTTGGGGGTTTTTTCCACGCTCAGGGAAGCCGTGGGGTGCCGGGATGAGCTTTGGGAATGAGCTGGGCAGGGATGGAGCCGCGGGTGGGAGGAAAAGAGGGAAATTGTGGAAGAATCCCAAGGGAAAGGGGTTTGGGATTTTGCCAGGAGCCAGCGCTGAATCTCAGCAGGTGAGGGGACAGGGCCACCCCCACCCGAGCCCGGGCCACCCCGACCTTGCGGGAAAAGCCACAGAGGAACTGCCCCGGAGCCTTGAGCAACCGCGGGGCGCTGCGGGGCCGGGCGGGAGCGGGGCTGGAACGGGCACATTTCACAACGGGCCGGGCTATAAGAGACCCCGCGGTGACAGCGGCCCCAGGGGGACCTCACCGCCGTGACAGGATGAGCAAGGCAAGTCCGGGGGGAGCTGAAGGTGTCCGTGCTCTTTTCCAGGTCCCGGGATCCTCGGGGAGCTTCTCTTCATCCCAGCGCCGGGTCCTGGCTGAGCGAAACCATCTCCAGGGGCCGTGAGGAGAGAGGGTTTCTCCTGGGAGAGGTTCCTGGCCACCAAAGAGGCTCCTGGATGTCTGAGCTGCAGCCCCACTGAGGGTTTTGGGGTGTTGTCACCTGCTCTGTGTCCCCACTGAGGGTTTTGGGGTGTTGTCACCTGCTCTGTGTCCCCACTGAGGGTTTTGGGGTGTTATCAGATGCTCTGCGTCCCCACAGAGATTTTTTTTGGGCGTTGTCACCCACTCTGCGTCCCCACAGATATTTTTTTGGGTGTTATCAGCCGCTCTGGTTGATTTATCAGCAGAACCAGGCTTAGACAATTTTGGGGTTTTGGGGACAAAGCTCAGCTCTCGTTTGTGGGCGCGCAGGGCAGAGGCTGTGAGGTCCTTCCTGAGGCTCCTTGGAGGAAACTCCAACAGCTCCTGCTCATCCCCAGCCGAGGGACAGCTGAGCCCAGCCCGGCTGTGTCCTGATCCTGATCCTGATCCTGATCCTGATCCTAATCCTGATCCTGATCTTGATCCTGATCCTGATCCCGATCCTGATCCTGATCCTGGTCCTGATCCTGATCCTGATCCTGATCCCGATCCTGATCCTGATCCCGATCCTGATCCTGATCCTGATCCTGATCCTGATCCTGATCCTGGTCCTGATCCTGATCCCGATCCCGATCCTGATCTTGATCCTGATCCTGATCCTGGTCCTGATCCTGATCCTGATCCCGATCCCAACCCCGATCCTGATCCTGGTCCTGATCCTGGTCCTGGTCCTGATCCTGATCCTAATCCCGATCCCGATCCTGATCCTGGTCCTGGTCCTGGTCCTGGTCCTGATCCTGATCCTGATCCTGGTCCTGGTCCTGGTCCTGGTCCTGGTCCTGGTCCTGGTCCTGGTTCTGGTCCTGATCCTGATCCTGATCCTGATCCTGATCCCAACCCCAATCCTGATCCTGATCCTGGTCCTGATCCTGATCCTGGTCCTGATCCTGGTCCTGATCCTGATCCTGGTCCCAATCCTGATCCTGACCCCGACCCCGACCCCGACCCCGGTCCCGATGGGTTATCCCAGGTTTTCCCGGACATTTGGTTTCTCCCCCAGGGCCAGCAGAGCCAGGAGCCGCTGTCGGAGCTGGAGAAGGCCATGGACGTCATCATCGACGTCTTCCACCAGTACTCCCGGCGGGAGGGGGACAGGGACACCCTGAGCAAGAAGGAGCTCAAGCTGATGATTGAGAAGCAGCTGGCGAATTACCTCAAGGTGAGGGGGCCCCAGGGCCTGGGTATCCCCGGGGTTGGGATTCACCCTCTCCCCACTCCGCTCTCCTGCCCAACCACCCCGTCCCAAACGCTCTCCATGAAGGAACCCCCGCAGCTCTGGGTGAACCCGCGGTCCCCTCATCCCCTTCTCCACAAAAATCAGCCCAAAAATCTCCTTTTCCCCCCAGAAACCGCACCAGAAACACCCCCAAAATCTCTTTTTTTTTAAATTTTTGGAACTCACTTAAAGCCAAAGGAAAGATTTTCCCAGCCAGGGGGAATTTTGAGATTTTTGAGTTGCAAACGAGGGGGTTTTGCCCTCCTCACCCTCCTCCTCCTCCTCGGCAGCACGTGAAGAACAAGGCCACCATCGACCAGATCATGAAGGACCTGGACGTCAACAAGGACGCCCAGATCAGCTTCGGCGAGATGATGCTGCTGGTCACCCGCGTCACCTGCGCCACCCACGAGCACCTGCACGAGGTGGAGGACCAGCAGCACCAGCACCACCACCAGCACCACCACTGAGGCTGCTTCCTCACCCTCCGAGGGATCTTCCCGCTTGGAAAAGGCTCCCAAGCCCAATCCCGCCCGGAGCCGCCGCTCCCTGCCCGCCTCCCTCCTCCCCTCCCTCCCCGCGCCGCGGTTCTGCTGCCGAATAAAGATTTACCCCGAGGCTGACGAAGCTCTCCTGTGTGCTTTTGGGTTTTCCGGGGCTTTTCTCTCCTCCAAGAGGGTCAATCCACCTTTGGGACAGGCTGCGGGTTCCCAGGGCTGGGGTGGATGCCTGGGAATTTGGGATTCGCCACTCCGAGGTCGGGATTGCACCAGGGTTTGATGGATTTTTGTATTTCCAGTTGGGGAAAAAACCCCCAAACCCATATTTTGGCCTGGAAACTCTCCAGAGGTGTCCAAGCCTGAGCTGTGGTGGTGAGCAGGAGCTGGGAGGGAGGATGGGGAGGGATGAGCACTATTTCCTGGAGGAAAACCCTTTTTTGGGCATTTTAGCTCCACAGGTGGGGGATGGACGCGTTAAGTTTTGGGCAGCTGCTCTCTGCGTGGACAAGAACGGGAAAAAAAAACCCCAATTCCTCACTCAGAACCCCCCAAATCTACACCAAAAAATATAAAAATGTTTATTTGTTAAACATCAGCTGCTTTGCAGAGGGAAACATGGATGGAGCCGCTGAGCAGCTTCCCGGGCTCCTGATTTCCAAACCCCTTTTGGGGCAGGAAAAGCAGCTCAGTGCTGATTTCCCAAGGCTGCCTCAAAGCCCTGAAATCGCCCAGCTCCGGGAAGGAACCTTCCAGAAACTTCCCCAAAGCAGCAGAGCTGAAGCAAGACCCCAACCCCCCTGCCCAGCTCACACAGCTTTGCTTCACCCCCAGCTTGCTTCAGCTTCCTCCGGAGCCACTTTTGACACCCCAAAATGTCAAATTCCTCCCGGCCAGCCCAAAGGAGCAGCATCCCCTCAGCTCTGCACCCCAAAACGGGGTAGGAGCCCCAAAACGGAGCAGGAGCCCCAAAACGGGGTAGGAGCCCCAAAACGGAGCAGGAGCCCCATCCCGCAGCGTTTTGGGGTCTCTGTGGAGCCCCCACATCCCCGGGGAGCGGAGAGAGCTCGGGAACAGCCTCGGGGACAGGGATTTTCAGCAGATCAGGACTTTCGGGGGGCTCAGCCCCTCTGTCCCCGCACAAACCCCCCCGGGATGGAGGCAGGAGCCGGCTCGGCTCTTGCTGTAACCGGATATTTGTCAACCCTGGAGCTGCAGCCGGCGCTGGGGGGGCTCCTGTTGTGCCACCCCGGGGCTGCTGGGCAGGAGGGGACAGAGAGCGACCCCTCCCCAAGCCCCAAATCCACATCGGGACGCTTTCATCCCCAGCCATCCTTTTCCAGGATTGCGGGATTGGGAGCCCCGGGCTCCTGCTGCCACCTGCTGGGACGCGACATCGTGGAGCGGCGACACTCCGAGAGGCCACCAGGTCCTGCCTGCGTCCCCAAGGACGCTGCGACCACCCCCGACCTCGGATTCCCCCTGCTCCTCTCGGAAATAAATCGGATTTCTGTGCCGGAATCGGGCCCCGCAGTTTCTGTGAGGCCACGCACCCGCTTTCAAATATCCCAAAATCCTCGACTTGGGGAGTCCTGGGGATGGATCAGAGCCTGGAGCCGGCCATGGATCCACCGGGGCTGGATCAGAGCCTGATCCTGTCCCTGGATCCACCGGGGCTGGATCAGAGCCTGATCCTGTCCCTGGATCCACCGGGGCTGGATCAGAGCCTGATCCTGTCCCTGGACCCACCGGGGCTGGATCAGAGCCTGATCTTGTCCCAGGATCCATCGGGGCTGGATCACATTCTGTTCCTGTCCCTGGATCCACCGGGACTGGATCACATTCTGATCCTGTCCCTGGATCCACCGGGGCTGGATCAGAGCCTGGAGCCGGCCGTGGGATGAGCAAGGAGTGACTCTCCCATGGGAGACCCCTCGGTGTCCCCGGTGTCCCCACCCTGCCAGCTCAGGGCTCCTGACCCCGGCTCTGCTGCCCTGCCCTGAGCTGGTCCAGTCTGGGACATTTGGGACAGCCTAAAAATAAGATTAAACCCCTTTCTTTTATTCCCGCAGGAATTTCTCTGCTCTGTGACATTTCCCAAACTTTCCCACGAGCTCACAAACCCCTTGGGCTGCAGAGAGGGGGAAAAAAAAAACCCCAACATTTTGGGGATGTTCAACACAGTTTGGCTTTTCTGGCAATCCAAGGAGGCGCAGAGCCCTGACCTACATACACCTCTCCAGGTGTGCTGGTAAACATCCTCCGAGCAGCAGGATAAGGAGGGAGGCTCCCTGGGAAGAGAACAGGACTGACCGGAAGGAATCCTGTCCTCCTCCCACTCCCGGGATCCTGCCAGGAGCCGCTGCCCCCACCAGTCCCCATCCCCGGCTGCTGCAGGTGAGTCTCCGCCGCTGGCTTTTGGGTTTGGAGGGAGCTTTTTGTGTTCGCGGAGCTGGGTTTGGAGCGGGTTTTACCCGGCAGGGCTCAGGCTGGACGGGATCAGCTCCCGGGCAGGTTGGAGGCGCTTTCCTCACCTGCAGGAGGTGATTCATTCACCCCTCGAGTGCCTGGATGCTTACAGGGAGCAGCTCCCCTTTAATTTAACCAGGGAAAGTGGGGAAACGAAGGGAACCGAGGTGAAAGTCCTCAGAGAGGCCGGGGAAGGAAATCTTCTTTTTTACCCGCGGTGAAATGGGACGCAGGAAGGCTGAGCGGGATGCTCGGGAATGCTGGAAGGGAAGGCGGGGGTTTTCCTGCCGCCCCTGGCAGAGGCGGTGTGCTCAGGTTCTGCTCCTCTCCAGGATGTCCAAGCTCATCAAAGCCATCACCGACATGATGCAGAGCTCCCAGGGCAACGCCAGGAAGGGCAGGAAAGCGGAGCCCTTCAGCAGGAGCGAGTTCAAGAAGCTGATCCAGCAGGAATTCGCTCCTGTCAAGGTGACAGGGGGGAAAAGAGGGTGGGAAAGGTGCTGGGGGGGTGTTTCGGGGTCGGAGGGGGTCTGCAACATCCAGCCCACATCCAGGGCTGGGCTGGGCTCTCTCCGCCCTGCCGTTTTCCCTGGGTTTGTCCTCTGTTTGTTGTTTTTTTTTCTGTTTGTTTGGCTCTGCACCCCTGGCGCTGGGATTTGGGCATCCCCCAGCCCTGGCTGCTCCTGGGGCTGGGGGGTCCCGGCTCTTCCCCGCCCCGGGAGGGGCTGACGGGCTCCTGTCCCCGCAGAGGTCCCCGAGCAGCAAGTACAGATCCATCCCGCGGCCCTCGGAGCCCGACACCGAGCCCATGAACAAGGAGAGGGCTCCTGGCAAGCCCTGCGTGTACTGAGGGCTCCCGGATGCTCCTGGCACCCGGGGGGAGCAGGTGGGGGACAGCCAGGGACAGCTCTGGGGCTGGGGACACCTCCAGGGCTGGGAACACCCCCGGGGATGGGGACACCCCTGGGAATGGGGACACCTCCAGGGCTGGGGACACCCTTGGGGATGGGGACACCCCTGGGGATGGGGACACCTCCAGGGATGGGGACACCTCCGGGGATGGGGACACCTCCAGGGCTGGGGACACCCCTGGGGATAGGGACACCTCCGGGGATGGGGACACCTCCGGGGCTGGGGACACCCCTGGGTATGGGGACAGAGCCACCCCCCTGTCCCCGCCAGGAAGCCCAGCCCGCTGGGCAGGGTGGGATGGAGCAGGAGCTGAGCTCCGGAAGGGATTTAATCATCTCTAATTAATTTTGCGCAGTAATTGGGCAGCGATCAGTGCAAAGCAGAGGGGGTTGGAGGGAGGGACTCGACTCCCGCCAGGTTTCGGGGTGCCCGTGGCCAACCCCCGTGGTTTTTCCCCGCTTTCCGCAGGATCCGTGGGCGGCAGCAGTGGTGGGATCTCCTTCCAGGCTTTTCCAGCTCCTCCGGGCCAGGCACATCCTGGGAGAAGCGAGACCGTGCCCAGCTCCACCGATTTACCTCCATGAGGCAAAAATATCCCAGGTCTCCTCGGCTCCCGATGCTGCAGCGGTGTCTCCCTGCATCCTCCCTGTCCCCTGGTGCTTTAAAAACGCGGCTTTGAAGGCTTCGGGGGGTGGTTGGGACAGATTTGATCTCTTTTTAATTTTTTTTTTTTTTTCCCCTCATAAAAAGCGACGGCTGAAATCTCAACCCCTTCAGCCCGGTTATTAAACGGGGAGAAAGTGAGAAAAAAATAAAATAAAATAAAATAAAATCCCTGCTCAATCGGGCTGGGATGAGCAGGGTAATTATTGACTCAGCGCTAATGAACCCAGAGCGGCGATTCCTCGGGGGGGGAAAAATCAAGGGTTGGTTGTTGGGAGCTCATCTCCAGCTCCTCTGGAGTCGAGAGGATTCCCACAGGTTTTTTTTGCGGGGGTGGACGCACCAAAATCGCGGCTCAGCTTCAGCCCCGGCCGAGGGGGCTCAGCCGTGGTGTTCACGGAGAGGTTTCGGCACTGGAAATACCCCAGAGGCGTTTTTCTCCCGGCTTATTTCCCCTCCTTCTCACGTGAAAGGTGGTAAAACCACAAAAAAGCAATAAAAACTGGATTTTAGGAGCCTCCCGAGGCAGGGGGTGCTCGGGGAAGCTCCCAGGGTTGGGAGAGGGTTGGGAAAGGGAGAAGTTTTGGGGTCTGGGGGGGTCCAGCAGGACACGCAGGGGGATGGGGGGGAGGTTTTGGGGCTTTCTCCAACACCGGGATCCCCCTGGAATTATCCCCCAGGAATGATCCCTCAGGAAAGATCCCCCAGGAATGATCCCGCCCAGGAATGATCCCCAGAAATGATCCCAGGAATGATCCCAGGAATGATCCCAGGAATGATCCCAGGAATGATCCCCT